ATCATGTAGAAGAGAGAGGTACCCAGACTATGGTTGCAAAACAACGGAAGCCCGCCCATGAAATCAGGTGTCCAAGCACATGGAACTGGCAGTGAAAACACGTATCATTAACCTTCTTTTCAGTTATGACTTCACAGCTACATATTCTTTGCTCTACTTTGTAGTTGTATTTTGTGTTGATGAATCCTATGTTAAGCCAGAAGTGGTGATTTGTAAGTGGATCACTGCAGCCCTGGAATCCTGGGCCAGGAAATTTTACTAGGTCAGTAATTATACCATTTTGGATCTCTAATAAAAAGGCAACAAAGGAATAATGTGAAATACAAATGATGCCTGTATATGAACTGTCACATGTTTAAATATGTAAGCTTTTTATAGAGCCTCAGTCTTGCTGATTTCAAACAAATTTTTCTTCTATGTATTGCTTTTAAAAGAGCTATCAGTTAGCTATCAGACTCTAGGTTGATGCATTTTTTGTACTTAGCTGTACTGTGTGATATTTTTCATTATTTTAGAAAACCAACATGAGAAAAAACTGTTATAAAATATGTAATGGGGTTTGAAAGCTGGGAAGGAGAATATACTGCTGTACAGCTAATAAATAATAATGGATTAACATGTGTGCTCACTGGCTGCTTTCTTTGTATTGGTCAACTCTTCATCCTGAAGGCAAGTTTCTGAGCAGGTGACTGCCTCCGCAGAAAAGGCTCCTCTCTCCGCAAGGCCGCTGAGCAGTCTGGAACCCTGGGCCTGGGACAGCGTGCAGGAGACCTTTCTAAGTCCGTGAATGTTCAACGCTGCCAGAAAGCACTGCTGTGTGGAATGCTGACCGTCCGCTGCATCCGAGCGCACGAGCGCAGCTCGCTGGGGACTTGGCTCGTGGGCTCCTCGTCCGGGAGCTGCCGTTAGATTGCTAGGCCGTGGTTTACGACCGTGTTATAAGAGATCCAGTGCCTTCCCCAAAAGGAGTTGGTACACGTGGTGTGTAGCACACGCCTCCCTCTCCTCCTTCGTTCTGGCCATTGTAAAGGCTGGTAAGCCCTACCAAGGAGAGAGAGCTGCAAGGTCCTGCAACGGACTAGTCGGTAAGAACAGGCTGGACCATAAACGGAGCTGTGCAACGTCTGGCCTCCCAGAGCTTGGGGGCTGCTGTCAGTCGCCAGGGAGTCTGACTGCTGAAGGGAGAGGCCTGTGGCGGTCAGGTGCAACTCGCACTCGCCCCCGGTACCAGCTGGGCGTGTGACTAGCCTTGCGGAGGAGTTCTGCAGAAGGCTCGAGCAGCACTGTGCAGGACGTAGCTGACGTTCGTGAAGCCCAGAGTTGCTGGAGGTGGGGGCCGCCAGGGAGACGCTGCAGAGCACAAGGCTGCGGAGGCCAGAGGAATCCGGATGGGACTCAGTGAAGAAGCGTGGCTGAAGTGAAAGTGCAGCGCATAGTTCCCAACTGAGTGAGGAGCCGGAGGGGAGAGCGCTGATGCTCATGGCTTGTCCCAGCCCAGGGACCAGCAGGGAAGCACTTGGTGTAGGCCCAGAGCTGGCAGCGAGGGAGGCTGCGTTTGCACTAGACAAGGGGAGACCAGATGGGTAGCATCAGCGCATAGCCAGGAGTGCGTGTGTGGTGGGAGAAGGACACTTTGGAAATATTCAGGCTGGGTTACTGAGGGCCATGCAGCAGCAGCCCTAAGCTTCTCCCGCCCCACCTTAGCTTGTGCCTGCTGCACTCAGGTGCAGCTTCAGCCCATGGAGACATACGCAGGCTGGCTCTGCTCTGTCCAGCGTGAACAGAGCAGGACGCTTTGGCCTAGCTGCTCAAATTCTTAGCAGGATCCCAGGCAGGTTGACAGCCCCACGCTGCTAGTGGCACTTGTGCTGCCTCAGAGCTAGTGCCGGTACCTCAGTGTGGGCTGCAAGTTAGACACGTGCCCCACGGCCTGTAGATCCTGCAGCCATGGCCATGGTGTTAAGTTCCCACCCTGAGCAGCGCTGCTCTGCGGCCCGAACCCCCGTACAGACAGTGAGGGCGGCAGGATGCCTTCTCCAAACTCGCCACTGCCAAGTGGGCAGGCAGGTGAATGCAGTGATGGGAGCCGGGACACGGGCTGTTACAAGGTGGGTTTGGCCGCTGCAGCTGCCTCCTGGGGGCTTCGTGGCCCTACAACACCCCACTCCAGGAAGCAGTGAGCTGGGAGGACAAGCATCGAAGGTGGATGCTCCAGACAGTGCCAGATGAATGCCAGCAGCCCTCCCAGAAGGGGGGGACTCACCCCTGATCCTTGGAGCTGGGCCACTGAGGAGCCCCAGATCCTGCACCTGGGGTGCTGAGCCCCCTGCCTATATTGCAGGGCCCCCAGGATGCAATCTGTAGGCAGATAGAGACTGGGTTTCCCCCACGCACCCTGGGGCCCCTAGGTGAATCTTACTGCAACCTGGGCAGTCAAGGGGAGGTGCTGGGACCC